TGATCCAGCACTGGTGAGTGAGCGCAGTGCGCCCTGCGCCCGCCGGACAGTCTGTCCCAGCTCTGTCCCTCCGTGTTGCATGGCCGTAGAGTGGTGTCTGCGCTGTGATGTCCTGTCAGCTGTTGTCTGCCCCCTGTTTCCACAGCCACCATCGCGTTTATCGGTGACCCTTCCACCCAGGAGGGCCGCGCTCCCTCCGGGGTCCTGGGCCTGCCTGCGTGGCAGCGCCGCGGGCAGGGCAGAGCGCAGACGGCGCCGGTGCATCCGCACGGCACGGCACAGGCACACGCACGGGCTCCGGCTCGGATCCCAAACGCTGCATTAGCACGATCGAGCACCGGAGCCGGCCAGACCTGTTCCTCAAGAGGACCCTTAGCCCGGGCTCGGAGCCACGCCGGCACGGCCACCTCTCCCCCGGGGCCGGTCCCCTCCCTGCACTCCACCGCACACCGCGAACGCGTTCACAAGATGTCGTAGGAACGCAGAGGGGGTTCGCGAGGGTCCGGTTCACGCGACTCGCTGATGCAGTCGGGTTCTGACCGATCTTTTCGCCGAGCTGCGGCACAGGGACTTTTTCACTTACTCCAAAACGTTGCCCCAAAGTGCTTCGGAGTAATACCAGGACCCTGCGGCTCCCGGGATGGTACTGTCATGTGCTCCCTGTACAGCAACCAAGCGGTTTCTATTTTAAGAAGAAAAGAGCGATTAAAGTGTTTGCCTAGGCACGTATTTCAGTCTGCTTTGATTTCCGTGTAACTTGGGGCAAGTCACAAAGCCCCCCACTCACCTTCCCTACCAGCAACATCAGGAAAATAATATTTTCAGGGATAATGATGCTTTCCCACCCCACAGGCATATTGTGAGAATGAACGTGAAAAACACTGAGGTGCACAGACATTACAGCGTTAGAGATAGGTTATAATGGAAGATGGAGAACTGAACAGTACAGATGTGATTATCCTTCAAAACAGGAGCAATGGAGAACCCACAGAAAATAAACATGCAAGGCAGTCTGCTGAAATGAGGAAGGGCTGTCGCGGTACAAACAGCAAGGAGTGAACTTTGCATTGCTAAATGTGTTTCTTCAGCATGTCTCAGGCGTTATTTTTTTTTTTTTTTCTCCAAGCTTTTACATGTCTGATGTCAGGGACTGAAAGAAATGATAAAGAAGTACCCCTTGTTTGTATGGAAAAGCTGCCTTATGTACCAAGTGAACTGTTATTTTTACCATTTATAACTGGGAAAAATCTTTATCTTGTCAATGTGACAAGTGTATCTGGAATATTCAGCAAATTAAATCAATCAACTAAAATTTGCTGGGTTAATATATCATGATTTAAATGGCTATAGCAGTATCAAGCAGGACGCATCGTTTAAAAAAAAAAAAAAAGAAGAAAATTAAGGACTTGAAGCCAGTATTTCAACTGATATTTAAGTTGATCCCAGTTTACTGCCAATAAAATTTGAGCTATGTGAAATTACACTCCTCTGAATCTAGGCATTAAAATATCCTATCTTTTATTTTATTTTATATTTGTCTAAATTGGTATTACTCACACTCACAGAGAGGGAATTTGCCGTTACTTCTGGCATCTATCTATTATTGTTTACTGCAAATACCTCCAAACTGCAGAAAAGTTTTGTACAACTGCTGAACAGGATCTTAACACATCCTTTCTGGATGTTGGATCAGATAAAGAAATCTGATAATTGATGATGAGATATTTCAGTGTGTACCGAGTGACGTACTTAAGTTAGCAATAAGAAACAAATGAGAAATCCATCTGTGTAACTTTTGTTTCATGCACACAATTTCTCCAGACGTTTGCATTTAGCTGCGTGTCTAATGGTAGTCTGGCAGAAAAAGTAAAAACTTCAAGCAATTCTATGCTTCCTCTGCTACAAACATTTTTTTTTCAATCGATAACAAATCGATACTGAAGGTCATAAGATTAAAATACTTGAGGATTTTTTTGTTTCTTTGTTTGGCTGGCTTCTGTAAGGTGCATTTCACTAAGATACTGCTAGATGTACAGAATTTAATATTTGTTCTTCATTTTTCTAGGTAGCACCCAGTGCTTTGCTGCTGTGATACGCATAGCTCTTCTCAAATCAGTGGATATTACTGTGTTTATAGTTAATTTTTTTTCAAATGCTTTGCTGCATCAAGATCATTAAAATGTGTTATGGCCCAGAGGACTAAGAGTAAGCGAGCTCAGATCTACTGAGAACTGGGTGCCAGGTTACTGTATGATCTCATGGTACGGCTAGGCGGGACACCCTGCGGAGCGGTGGCATTGTTCAGAAAAAACAACTGGGAAACTACGAGTGTGAGGAGCGGATACAGGACTGGACATTCAATGTCTGCGCAAGATTTTGAATGCAGAAGTCACCATAATGATACCCAGCTCTTATATCATTATTTTTACTTACAGGCATGTTAAAACTTTAACAAGGAAGTAGGTATCATTATCTCTGTCTTCCTTTGAATCATTAGACATGGAAATAACTTGTCCAAAGTCATGAGGATAAGAGATTGAGTGAGGAATTAGAATCAGACCTTCTGAATTACAGTCTAGTGTCACTGCTGCTCAGCAACCCAGCTCCTCTTAAAACTATTTTTTTTTCTAATTTGTAGTTTCTGAAGCACTGTGCTATAAATAGAACGCACATACTGTGACAATGTTTGCTCTTTGCTTTTAGGCAGTGCTTTCATACATTGCTAAAGCACAAACATGCTTTGCATTTTGAGATCTCGGAGGACAGTCCTATCACTTCTTTACAATCGATATTTGACTATTTTGTTTCAATAACCCTATTTTTCTCTTTCTGTTTGTACAGCATATTGCACTGGATTTCATCAGCAATTGCAAAATTCTGTTCATAGATCAACCTCCAATTTACAGTGAGGATTTTGGATTCCCAAGGAATTCAGGCTCAGGCTGTGCTCATTCATGCCATCTTTATATTTAAATATGTTTATTTTTTTTATATGGAGTGGAATAGTTAGATTTGATTTAGACTACCATCTTTTTGATTGAAGCTACCATCTTTTTCATTAATTTAATTTCTGTCAGCGGACAAACCTACTGAGCCAGGTACTGGTCTCACTTACAGCAAGATATCTAAAATGTCTTTTTGAAGCTATTTAACAGAGCTACCCTGCTGCAACGTCTGTCACAGTCTGGCTGGCTATGTCTAAAAATTAAAAACAGAATCTATATTCTTACCACAGAAAAATTTACTTACAACAGAAAGTGTGGTCATTTACATTTGAAGACAAATTAATAAAAGACTCAGTTTTGCTAAACTACGCTGATATCTAACACGTTTTATTTAGGTTTCTGACTGCCAATGCTTTTACCTGAAAAACACCTTACCCCTAATAACCTGCTGTCATGAAATATTTTTATTTCATTCTCTAGCCAATACTTTCTTAAGCTCTATGATAATCCTGTAGATCTTGCTTTTTTATTCATTGATTGATGATGTCTGTGACCAGTAGACAGACTAGGAACAAGAAGTTTGCTTGCCTCTGTCCTGCCAAACCAGTTCTGTGGGTAAACAGCAGGTTTCAGTTTCAAGCCTGTCAGCTTTGCCTTTTTTAAGAGTATTGTTCTCACTACAAAAAGCTTTTAAGCAGTTTTTAGTTTTCATTCTTTTGTATTGATTTTTATTTGCTTTTATTCCATAAGCAATACTTGAACTCCAAGATCAGAGCTGTCAGCGTAATCTTAAACTTTACTTAAAGGTTCACTTAAAGCAGAAGCATTAAGTCATTTCAGTGCCAGATATAAACTATTAAATAATTCAATGTGTACTTTTTCAACAGACATAAATTATTGACCAGAAAATGGCCCAGCGAAGCCCAATCTTCCCAACTCTTGCCCATTCTGAAAGGTACAGTTTGGAATCTAAAAAATAAAATCTTCATATTACAGAGTGTTATGTGTCTCTCAATTCCCTATATATAGTAATGCTGTGACTTGGGACTTTGGCAGTAGTATGCAAAGCAAAGTGAAATACTCTAAGCTCGTTCAATTCATGGCCCAAATCACAATTCCTTCCTTGGCGTTTACTTAACCTTTTCCAAAAGAAATTAAATAGCTTAAACTGTAACTGAGTAGAAGTCCAAGAATACTATGCTTTAACCAGTCTTCTAATAGCATGGAATAAGTGTGAAAACTCAGGGCCAGAAGTGACCTGTGTTGGAGTCCTCATACATCTCTACCAATATCATCATGGTGAAAATAAACTGTTAATTTGACTCATTAATAGGAAACAATATGGAGAATACACAGTAAATAAGAGAGTTCCAAGAAAAAGATCTCTTTCAAAGTGGGGCTGAACTTGTATCTTCTACTTATGCTTCTGAAAATTTTCTTTACTCTTTGCAGAATGTAGTGGCAGGAAAAGATTGCGCATGCATTAGCAGCCTAATTTCCTTACTTTGGGCACCCATGCGCTCCATTACTTTCCACAGAAGCTATGCAGTGCAGAGGTCTCTTGAAAAATACAGAAAATTATTGAAGGTACCCAAATGTAAGCTATTTTGGGGGGAAAATTTGACTTTTAAAATTATGAGAAGCTTGTCATAACTTTAGTATCTTCTCAGTTTCTACACCTGCATATGCTCCTGTCCCGTTCATGGGAAGACAAGCTTCCATGTGGTATTACGGGATAGCTGTAGAGACTGAAAAAAGGAACGGAGACGAGTACTCCATTTTAATCTCAGTCTGTTTCCATTTAATTTGCAATATCTGCCTTCTACAGTTACTACTTTGATTAAGCCTGAAAACTGTAGAGACAAATAGCTTTACTTTTCAAACTCAATAAAAGGGGTTTGAATTTGCATTCTTAATCAAATTATAGTAATTACTTTTATAACGCTAATGTCCTTTTCTTAAGATCCTGCGCTTTTGTAAGCTTCCTTAAAGAGTAGGGAAAAGAGCCTGACCTGCCTTTGCACAAGATACACGCAGTAGCAAACACAGTGCCCACTTATTTGTAGCAGTGGGCCCTCTCCGTGTGAGTATTCTGGTGCTTCTCCCCAGTATTGCTACTACGATAGCATTGCAGAGTCTCCAGTGGAAAGAGATTGCAGAGTTTTATGTGAGAACTGAACAATATCTGGATATTCTTCTTCACTAGACGGGTTCGAAACCTACCGCTGCACAGCCAGGCGTTGACAGCGGTCCCACTGGCATCTGCAAGCCTGGTGGATCAGCTGGAAGACAGAATCCTAAGCCATGAGAAAACAACGGCGGCTCTTGTGGAACACGCTTTTCGCATTAAGGAGGACATTGTTTCCACCCTGCACAGAATGCAGAACAAAGGGGGGGGCGACCGGTTGGCTAGGCAACTCTTGGAAGAACATATCCGAAACATAACGGCAATAGTGAGGCAGCTTAATCGGGACATTGAGGTATGTTAAGAATTTTTCACAGGACTAATGCCATCTATGCTACTTACTCTTTCTAATTTAGTAAGAAAGTTTACCACGGGATAAGTAAAGGTCAGACGAGGTCTGAATATCCTGTAAACTTATAAATTGTTTTTATAACTTGAAAAACTGTTTGCAAATTACATAATTCTTTCAGTGGCTATGAAAGTAGCACAGGATGTTAGCATATAAACACAGAAACCTTTGTGGTACTAATAAGCTTGCTTTCAAAAGCTGCACTGGAAAACCTTGAAAAACTGTATTAATGCGACACTAATACTCGGCTCAACTTCAGTCCAAAGGCTGTGCTGTGCAAACATCAGGAAATGCCTTAGCTCTGTCAGAAACTTTCTTTTACTTCCGACTCACTGACGACACCAAGTAGCCAAACCCAACTGCTCGGTTTTATGACCTAATCATATACATGTGATATGTGACTTCATGTCTGACCTCTGCTGCAATGAGCAAGAGGGGCGTGGGAGGGGGAAACGAAAGGATAAAAATGAGTAAGTTTCCATTACATTGTCAAGTCATACTTTATACATATTATGGTATTTATGTGCAGACTGGACACTAGGAATAAGAAAGAATAAATGACCTAAAGGTATCTGATTTAGTATGATACAAGACAAACCTAATAAAGTAATGATAAAATGGTATCTGACGCTACTGAAATACTGAAAAATAACGAGTGACATTTTAAGTGTACATTAAATGTGACATACCGAGTTTACATTTGCATATGAATGCTTTGTAGATGCTGCAGGAACAGATACGTGTCAGAGACAATCTCAGCTATGGAACAAACTCTACCCTCAAGAGTCTGGAAATGCGGCAGCTTTCTGGATTAGGAGATCTTCGGGGAAGAGTTGCAAGGTAAAAGTCAACACGGAAGTGCATTTTGGGACTAGCTAATGTTGCTTTAATCTTGAAGTACGAATGAATGTTAATGATAATGGGCCGAATTCAACTCTGGCAAAATTCCCAGGATAATTTTGCTTGATGTTTGCAAGAAACTGAATACTAATCCTTTGCATTCCAGTATTAAACTTAACAGTATCATCCTTCATTCTTGAAACTAGTTTTTAATAAATTACTTCAAATTCCTTAGGAATTTGGGTTTGGTTCAGCTTTAAAATGTACTATGGTTAGACTGGTCTATCTTTGAAACAAATTAATTAGCACAAGAATAAAGGCAGCATGGAACAATCTGCACTTGTAAAGAACGGAAGAGTTGCACATTTTCTGCATATATCTTAGAAGTAAAAGTCTGTGCATTCAGTTATTGGTTAGCTATATTAAAAACTACATACGCATTAAGGAACAGAAAACTGTAAAATCATGGAGGTTTCACAGGCTACTTGAAACCCCAGGTTACAACTGTGCAACTACGCAGACTTCAGGTTGTGCCGTCAATGACACATTTACAAACTCCAGTACAACATTTGCTTAAGTGTTGGTAAAGTTGAACATAAAAGACAAAGGATACGTACAGCTATAGAAAAAGGACTTAATCTGGCCTAAAGCAGCTTGGCTAATAACTTTGGTGGAATTGTACTTGTCCTGAATTTGACCTGTTGTCTATGTTGTACAGATATTTTTTCTTTTCTTTTTTTTTTTTGTACGTCAACTGATTTAGTGAGAATCTTCAACAGGCTATCAAAATAATCAGGGAGGGATTTTGCTTGAATTAAAGTTTTCTCATAAATTATTTGATTGTTTGAAGTTTCCACTGTAACTTTCATAGCCTATTTTGTAAATACTGTAGAGAGGTTTTACATACTCATTTTAACTTTTTAAGTTATGGACTATCCTTTAGTAAACAGAAATGAACTAGACAAGTTTATTATGTCAAATCAGAAAATTGACTGAAAAATATATATATAGAGAGAGATATACACACACATATATATGTCTCAGTCAGGATTCCCTGACAAATTTACATGCTTAGATCTTCCTGCTTCTTTTTATATAAAGAAGTCCACTTTCAGATCATACTGCATCTTGAGAGAGGCCCATATTTGGAGCAACACAGCTCCTGACACCTTGTGAAGCAAAACACAGTGCCTTTGTTTCCAATAACAGAACTCAAGCGACAAACACGTGCCAGCATGAGCTTCACAACGGGGCCCTCGCCTGTCCCGAGCACTTGGTATGGGGAACGGTGGTACACTAGCACAGTCTGTGCCAGGATTTCTGCCTTTATTTGCTCAGGGCAACGCCCTTGTACTGTGCCTAGGTTGCAATTTATCTTATGATTGCATGAGATTGTACCAATCTGCCTTATGTCAGACTGCAGTGGATGTTGGCTATTTGTATTCATTACCATAAGAGAATCAGTTTATTGTCTTTTAACTGTTACCTTCAGCATTATGCTCTCTACATAAAAATATTCCTTGAATGAGGAAGAAAACAAGCTTCCCTTATCAGAAATCAAGTTAAAGCAGTGTTCCACGGGAGAAAACTATTTGCCTTTATTTACAGACATATTCTACTTTGAAAATTAGTGTTCCTGTGAATAATGATTAGAATAATATCTTAAGATCATGGTCAAGATGGCAGTTCGTTATGCTGTTGGCACTATTAACAGAAACTTTCCCTGGGATAAACACTTTCTGATAACTCTAGCCAATGCTCCTTATATAAAATAAACTGAACTCACCTAATACAATTTTAGTTTTACATCTAGTCTTGCTAGCTTTCAGATGAGTTCGAAGAGTGAAACCTTAGAAAGATGACCAAGTTACTGTGGGTTACCAACTCACTGCGCATCAGCTCTCAGCCACAGTCAAGGTACCGTGCATGGCCCAGCTGCAGCGGCGCTAGGCTGATTTAACTCAGAGTACAGCATGTTTGCTCTTGGCTAGAAGCATGCAGATGGACAATCAGTGTGAATCAGTTTATCTGTGCCACATGATAGTAAATCACCCAAGTCTGAGCCTTTCAGTCCTGTAATAATTTTAGTGTCAATCTCAGGATTCTGGCCAAATTTCAGTTCCAATAATTACATGCATACTAAACATCCTATTCAACTTCAATATTGGAGAGAGTGATGTTTATTTCCTAACACCAACTGTTCTGTAACATGTCAATATATCATCGAACAACTGCCTTATTATTTCTTGAGGGCTGCTGCTTTTAACCATGAGAACAAGGATCCCTACATGCACACACAATTCTGAAGCACAGCTCCAAAACCATGCTACCCACAGCCCTGGAGGAGGGAGATTCGGACAGACCTCCCAGTTGAGCTCACCTGCATCACAACATCTACTAATATCCCTAGCAGGAGAAGGCTGAATACACATTACAGCTCATGTCTTCAGGCCATTTCTTATTAAGCATAATTTATTGATGAATTTGTAAGGCCTTATTGAAGTGTTCACCATGAATGATGCTGTACATTTTCCTAAGAATCAGCATTATTATTAACTTTAAGAAAAAAATTACCTCTATTAAATTCAGTGACACATTCAGCAGAAAATGAGATACATGCTGATAGATCCATTACTCAAGCCTCCTGTTCCTGATGTTGGCAATTTTATATAACACAGATTTCTATTCTATTTCTAGTGATATTAGATCATAAAACTCATGAGTAGTGCCTTATAATTTACTTACAGAAAGACTTGTGGACTATGATAATTTGTCTGGAAAGTTTAAATACAGCAGCCTGGTCAGAACCACAGCAGTAGCTGTCTCTAGAAGCTTCTCGATAGCTGAAACATCAAGAGAAATGACAACCATGTGTGTTCAAATTGGGCCCACTTTGCACCTATAGATGATTTTTATATAAATTATAGATCTGATTCATTTCAAATAGTCTGGACTCATCACATGTAGGCAGATTTTCCTACACTGCGCAGAAAATGAGTCTGATGCATCTGGGATGCACTGCATTTATGAACTTCATAAGTACAATAAATCTGCTGCGCTCTGGCTACTTGCTGTGTACGAGCTGCACACGATGAGGACTGGTCGGGGCTCCCTGAGCCAGGCTATTCAGAATCTGCCAGCTCTGCTGTACCTGTCCAGTGGATCTCCTGGACACATCAAATTGCTTTCACTGCTTCTTCTTCAGCTACTTGTTTTTCAATTAAAATACCAGTGTTTCAGTGAAACATCTCCTGTTATAATAAAACAGGAAAATTTAAATTCTGTATGCACCATTATAGCATATTTATCTGCAACATTCTGTTGCAGAATATTGGTGTAGTCCTCAGCTTTATCCAGTCCTTGGTGATACTGAATAGAGCAACCATTGTGTTTTGATTGCTTAGAGAACAAAGACAACAAAAATACTCTTCAGTGTGCCAGAAAAATAACTCCTGCTTTTGCTTACTGTGACTTGGAAGGCAGTTGTTTGATAATTTCACTGTTTATATTAAATATTACTGGTTTCTAGAATTATACTGTATTCTGAAACTGAGAATATCACTGGGCACTATGAATTTCTCCATTTATTCTTCATTTACTGATGTCAGATAAGTACGCAGCTTAGCAATCAAAACTTTCAGAAAATGTCCTCCAAAATAAAACAGTAGTATAACATGCACATTTTAGAGAATTTTGGGCCTAAATTTCAACAGTGCATGTATGTAACTGCACATGAAAAACTGCCCTGGTTTGTATGGTCAGCTTCAGCATTTCAGGTGTGAAAACAGAATTATTTATTGTGTCTTTCTTTGTGTAAAATGGTTTTATATAGAGGTCTTATATTTTTAAACTATAATCCTATAATCTATTTCTCATTTCTTTCCTTGTGCTTTTAAGATGGCCAAACCTTGAAAGTTGTTTTCAACTTTTCTGTCCTTATATCCATAGTCCACTGGCTTCATTTGTATAGACAGTCTGATTATATTACCCAGGAACTTAAATTCAGTGTTCAGAAACATTTAGCTTTACTTTTAAGACAAATTCTATTGACATTTTAACATGAATCTATAAAGAAGTGTCAAAGCAGAACTTTTAGAGGTATGGGAAATTCAGTGGGGATTGTAGTGTGCCTTTTTTTTGTCCTCTTTTTTTAAAAAAAAAAACAAACTGGGAAAAACCTCCAAACTATAATGTGCCCTTTTGTTTAGATTACTGATTTTCTTCCAACCCATCATGCAGTAGAAACCTGAAACAAAACTGTTACAAAGCCCATGGTTTTCCTTATGTTCATCTTATTATTGCCTCTCCCCCCGTTTGAAAGGTAGTGGAAGCATGGAGTAAAGTTATTAGTTGCTTTTTAACTCAGAACGAATACTCACATAACTAATATCAGAATCTCATTCTGGGTTTGCAGCACACCAATGTTTTCTTCCAGGTCAAAACTAATCAGGTGTCTATGAGTGTGTATGATACATATAGCAAAGAGATTCCTCTTTGACCAACTTAATATATGGAATATTGGTTATGAAAAAACATAGCAGGATAAACATTCCATAACTACAGACAATGGAATTTAAACTTTATTCCATCTCTATTTAAAAGGGTGCCAATTACGGTATCCCTGTAGAAAAATGAAATAACCTGATTAATACATACCAGGCTGACACTAAATTAACATAGTCAGAATTTTAATGTTCCAGTTACCATGCAACTGTATGACCTCTTTGATCACGTAACTGAGTTCACAAAGAAGAGAGATGCACTGTGATTAAACCCAAAACACTAATTTGCCTGAAAAACAATTACAGATGCCTGCTGTTTACATTTGCTACAGTAGTTTCAAAGCTGTTGCTTTTTCTATTTTCTGTCATGCCTCAGAGAAATAAAACTAACCATTTTTTTTGAGTCCATAGGCTTTTGCTGACTAGATGCAAGATGATTTCATTCCTTTCATTCTCTCTGACTGATCGTAACAACATGGAGAGATTTGGCTTCTCTCATCTTTCTAAAGAAACTGCCTGATTGTAAGACCTACAAGTATGGTTCACTGCCGTGTAAACCTTAGCTGGCCTTTCTACAGATGTTACTGATTGGTCTTGCAATGCTGAACTGCTAAACTATAAATTAATTTCCACAAGTTTTATAATTTCTTTGTGTTCTTTTGCATTACTGATTATTTTCATATTGAAATTGTACCGCAATACTAAGCAGATGCTCTGTTTGTCACTTTTGCTGTTACTTTCCCTTCACGTTTAATGATAATGGTAGTTACTATAACCGAGGTGATGAAAATGCATGTTGAAATGAAAGCGTTTGAACTGAAATGTGACTAAAGAGAGGTTAAAATGTGTCATTGGTTTAGGTAATGACTTAACCTGCCTTAGCTTGTTCCATTTTACTGCCTTTTTCTCCCTCAAATTGTAACTGCTGTCTGTTCTCCATCAGTTTCATAGATCAAATTGGTAACATTGCCAATTACGTATTTTCCTTAGCAAAAACATATACATGACTCATACTTCACAGAGGTCTTACTCCTGAAATTACAGTACTTATATTTTTACAGCTCAGTTAACGTCCTTATTGTATTAGTGTAGAAGAAACCCACCTGACCAAAGTCTTTTTGAAATGTGGTAGAAAATGCACATATTCTACAGCACATTTATCCTGAAAATGTTACAGCATCAAGAAATGTTCCAATGTGAAGAGAGGAAACAATAATTATTATGTTCCAGAACTGCATTTCGTCGTCTTTTATGAAACAAAATTGCTATTGCTTTCAATGACAGTTTTACCAAAATAAAGACTAATAACTGTAAAATTTTTCCCACATTGTTTACTACACATATTAATTGTATGCTACTATTTCACAAATAAAAATAAGAATGTAAAACTCAGAGGAACACAGCTACAATAATGAAAAAAAAAAGTCCTGAATTATTTAGGCTTCTAATCACGTAGGTAAAATCATACACACCTTACCAGATGTCTTTTGGAGTATGACAAAAATACAAGGTATTGAAATTCTGCGCCTTCGAATATCTAATGTGATTTTCCCGACTGATAACAACACAGTCTACATATATTATGTCAGTGCCAAGAAAACAGGAACATGTGTGTCCAGACTATTTGACTTCTGGTCCCATTTGGGAGCAGTTTGCTGAATACTATGAGATATATCACCATTCTAACAGTCTCAGAAGACATTGTTTGGCTAGACAGCCAGCAGTTTCACAGAAATGCCCAGTCTAAAATGGATAATTTAAAAATCCTGGACCTCATATTCTATTCAGCTGTTGCTTTGGTATTTATTTATTCAAACAGGTGTGATGCTGGGTTAGCCAGACTGTCTGCAGAGCATAAAATTACATATGAAAGACTTCAGAGCCTAAGTAAAGACCAACACACCTCCAAGCTGATCCTAGAATCTAAAATCAAAGAGGCAGAAATACAGGTATGGTATTTGGACCAAAACGATCCATCTATAGGTAAGAGTAATAGTCTAATTCACATAGACTCCTTTACTGTTAATTATTATCCTGGGAGGTCACAGATTTACAAATAGAGAGGCTCACAGTCCTTATTAGATAGAATATTGGTACCTAGCTGCACTACTGCACTGATCTAACTGAAAAAAGGTCCTTAATTCGCTGCCTTTAGTATGCTGTGTAGAAGGGGCTAGTATTTAAAGGCACCTGAAAGCACTCCAGGAATGAACAAAAGTAGGTGATTACTGGCCTGAATGGCTTCTTGAGGTTGGACTGTGAACATGACTAGCACAATAATGCATGCATGCATCAGTGTCTCTCCCTGTATGCTTTTGCCTTCACAGGATGATTTTCTATGTATTTGAACACAATTTTTGAAAGGCTGCAAAACAAAACTGATTTTGGGTTCTGCAAATCCATTAATCTGTCCGTCAGATTTCTCTTCCATTGGGTATGAGAACGAAAGTGAGCACTAGATACAAGCAGAGATTTATGACATTAGGGAAAAGGATTCTTCTCGTCTCCATCTCAAGGCCTTTCTATTTTCTTGGGCAACAAAAGTATTTTCTATCTTTATTTTGTGGTAGGTTAATGGTTAAGATCCTCTTTACCTTTCTCAGAAGACTCAGTATCATATATGAGCATGCCAGCAAGCTAGGAACATATTGTCATGAATCTTGTAAAACAGAACAGTATGTTTTGTAAAACTGGGATGATTGTTTCAGTGAGAAATGTTTTCTGTTGGTAATGGCCTATCCCCAGTTAAATCCAGCACTTTTATCACTGCCATAGCCGTTATACAGGAGTATATACTCCACTCAGTATGGGTGGAGTGCTTTGCCATTTGTTTATCTGCTTATATGACAACATGGAGACGTATGGATCATGTAAATTCAGATGTCTCAAGGGGGGGGGCGAGCAGGCAGACGCTTTCAAGGCAAGACTGTTCAAATTATTTATTGCTGAAAAATTACAGCTTTCACAATAACGTCCCAAATGAGACTGTGATGAAATGCTGTTGAAAAAGAGCAAATTCTGAACTTTGTTTCAGATTTCTCATCTCCTGAGCAGAGTAGAGCAATCAATAATGCAACAGGAGGCGAAGCTGAAGATGGCCTACAAGGAGAGCAACCAGCAGCTCCACCTCCTGGACATGAAGTGAGTGCCGGGGAACCTCGCTGGGCCGCGCCCTGGCAGGGCCTCCCTTTGCCAGCTTTGGCTGTTGAAATCCTCGGGTCCACCAGAGCAAGAACCTGTTTAAATCCCTACGTGTGCTCAACAGACCTTACAAAAGCACAACGGTCTGTCGAGTTTCAACAAGAACTCTGCCCCTGATGCGGTTAGGCGATTTGGAAAAGCCCACTGAGTCCCTAGTTAAGCGTTAAAGAATACGAGGGTTTTTAAGAGTGGCTGGTACCTTTTTGCAAGAACTTTAGGAAGCAATGAATGCTGGAGGTGGCTGTCAAGAGGAGGGCAAAACGTTCAACTCGAGCAACCAGGAAGCATGGTACAGCATTCACAAAGTGTTATTGCTTTAAGCTGGCTTCAAATACCAATATATAATTCAAATACCTAAATTATTAATGATAAGCTGCTGTGCTACTACTAGACATTATATAGGGATATATTCAATTCAGATACTAACTCTTCTCCAGGCATTTCACTCAGGGACGTTCCTGACTTAAGCCATCTACATCCTTACTGCTTATTGCCACCCTCACGCCATCCCATCAGTTACATCAGTAAAACTATTTGCAAACCAGATGAAAGAATAGATCCAGATTTCAAATATTCACTGGAAAAAAGACTGTCTAAAGAAACAGTTTCACTGGCACAAACAGTTGGTGTAAACTTGAGATGGGCACAGGCAACGTAAGTGGGGCTATCTGAACTAGCGCTGCCGCTGAAATAAATGGGTACCAAATCTTTGTTCAGATTTAAGACCTATGATCACAAAGATCATAGTCCAAATTGATGACCATATTCTGTTTTCAGTGCTGCAAAGAATTTCCGTCTACTATGCTTCAAAATGTTGTGATTCGTTTCATATAAATAACTGCTATTTTGTTGTGCTCTTTCATCTTTACTTTCTAAAACAATGTTACCTTATCCAGCTTAGCAGCCTTAAAGTTCAAAGATTCACCTTAATATGCTGTCAAGAATGTATCAAATTGTCATTAATTTTTTCATAAAAAAAGTCACTGCTGAATGACCAAAAGTTCTGCTCTTTTGTATCTGCTAATTTCTATTATGCTCTTAGATTAAAAAATGCTATCGAGGAACTCAGCAGCCAGATTTTGTCTGCACGTAGCTGGTTGGAACAGGAACATGAAAGGATTGAAAAAGAGCTTGCGCAAAAAATTGACCAACTCTCATTGACTTTTAAGGAAAACACTGTAAGTTTTGTTAAAATGTCCTAATAATATTTCTCAGGAAGTATTCAAAAGCATTATTAATAACTAAGATGATGTAATTGAGATATTATTTGAGATTTTCAGATCTTCTCAATATTTGTATAACTCTTTTCACTGATGTCAAGTATAACAGCCCCACAGCCTGAGAGTCTTCAAATAAATCTGATCACTTCTAAATAAATCAGTATTTTACCTTACAGTAATCAAGTTAGTTTAAAAAAATTTATAAAAAAAATTATAATTACTTACGTCTTTGAATTTCACATAAAAGATGATTTATCCATATCTATTGCATATTTGGGAAAGACTACTGTAATTTCATATGCAGAGTAAATAATTAAAATTCTTTTCCCGGCTCCAGGAAACGAGTGAAAGAGCTATAGAGATGAAATTCAACCAAATGGCAGAGAAAATTGACAAAATAGAAGAAATACAGAAGATAAGCATTGAAGCACAGGAAGCAAAACAGACTGAAGAAAAGATAAATATTCGCATTGGCAAACTTCAAAATGAGATAAATGAAGATATAAAAGAAATGAAAGCTGAAGTTAATGCCGGTAGGACCACAGTTATCAAGTCCTTTATTCTCAATTGTGGTAACGATGATCAACCTATAATAATATGCAAAAAGCCTTTGCTTGTATCAAAGTAGTTTGAAGATTTTGGAGCCAGATGTAATGGCTGCACCTGTGGCATTAAAAAGGATTTTCACTAAGTGTGAAATTCGCAGCAACAAGAGATGGCACCTTGCTAGCTTAGAAGTGCTCCCCAGAGCACACAGAGGCATAGCTTGGCTGTGATCGGGGGTACTTTTGCCATCAGAACACTGTTACAGTCCTGTTTTTCTTCAGAACTTTTGCCATCTTCCTAGTGTAAAGCAGAGCATTATGGTAGGAAGCGCATTCGGATAGTAATTATGGGCTACTTTTGGTTTTGATTATGAATTAATTTAATTCTCACCTGCAATTAGGATTTGCAGCTATCTATGAAAGCATTGGGTCTCTACGGCAAGTTCTAGAAGCAAAAATGAAGCTGGACAGAGATGAACTACAGAAGCAGATCCACCAAATGAAGCAGGAGGTTCCAGCGTGGGGAGAGGCTGGACCATGACTGCAAGATTTTGTCCAAGAGATGACAGTTTACCTGGCTAAATAGGCAGACGATAATCTTGTTCCAGCCTGTAATCCAAATTAAATGCATGTACCAAACGACATGCTGCTGTTGCACAGGTCCGTATGTTCACGCAAAGCAGCAAATGCAAGCTCTTCACAGATAACTGACGACAAGCTGTCACAGGCTGAGGTGCTGACTGGCCACTGCACTACTCTAGTTGCTCTCAGGAGATTAAGCACCGTGTAAAACTGGAGTAATATATTGGTGAAGCCGGCACCTAATTTACTAAAGGCATTCCAGTGCTCCCCAGTTTTGCAGGCTTGATCAAGCAGGTATATGCTTATATAATTTTTTTATATAAAAAAATATATATGCACCTGCAATCCCCTCCCTTTTTTTTAAAAAAAAAAAAGGCAAACGAGTTGCTATCATTTGTTTAATAACCGTTTGGCAAGGTTCTTCACCTTGATACAAATTACTTAATTGAAGTCAACGGACATTTTTACAGATACTTTCTCTACTATTGACTTCCTGGGGAGACAGAATTGGCACTAAACAGACCAATTTTCAAAACTTACATACCATCAGAGAAATCTTTGTTTACTTTTGCAAATATCCTCTGTGTGTGTGTGTATGTAAACTAAGTAGTGTTATATAATGTAGTTGTAGACTAAGACGATTCATGAACAACATAAGAAACTTAACTAACGTGGTCTTAAGTATTGTGACCTTTTTAAATTACTAACCAAGTGGAGTCGAGACAAGGTAAAAGATGTATATAGAGCATTTTATAACTGGGCATGTGTTCCTGTGACTTGTTTCATTATATTGGTAAAAATGTTGAAAGATTTGAAAACAAAAGAGAAGGTGACAGTCTGGAGACTGTAATGTTAAATAAAACGCAGTTTATGATCAGCTTAGAAATTTTTATTGAAGTAAACCAATCAATTCTTCAAATTTAAGTAGACTTTAATAATTTAGTAGATTCAAATTGCTAATTGCATTCACAGTATTTCCAAATAATAACGGTGCTTATTTCCATTCCCAGAATGGCTTACATAATGAAAATCAGCACCCATACAGCATATTAATTTAGACAGGAAAAAAAATATTGATTTTATATCTTCATTCATAGCTTGATATTGCTCCTCATGTTTGTAAGTCATGCAGGATTAAGTACTCATGAAGAATAAAAGACTTCATCCAATATCCTGTTAATTTATACTATTACAGTAATTCATATACAAAAAAACTATTAATTTACACAAGCATTACTGTTAACGTAAATAAATTAATAGGACGTCTCTGCACTGTCTTTAACAGATCTTTCTTTCAGCCAGTATTGTAAAACCATATTCCTATTTGGAAAATCAGTGCCAAATTTCTCATCACTTCCATGAGAGAAGGTTTGGCCCACAGAGTCACCATATTAAAAAAACCCAAACCAACAACAATTGCTCCAAAAACTTAAACTCATTAACTTCAGTAGGACAGTGTAGTGTGTAAAACTCAAGAAAATGCAGACATCTTTACAGGATTAGCATCTAAGTTTATATTAATTTCCTATATGTTTGAAGGTAATTTAATGTATCAAAGATACATGAAGTTTTTGCAACTCTGGCTTCCAATGCTCTCTGATAACAAAACTGCTTCTGTTATTCCTGTTTCGTGTCATCCATGTGCTGTGAAATATATTTACAATGGCAGCTAAGGGGAAAGCCCAGTTCACTGAAGGGAGACGATGAAAGGCTTGCAGAAACTTCTTAAGAATTGTCTTAAAAATTCATTCTTTCTTCATGTCTGTATTCTTATCTATTCTCAAATATTTAACCATGTGCAATGGAAAAGCTATCACTGGTGTTTTATAAAAAAGAAAAGAACAAAGAGAGAAGCAAAGAGAGATGCAACAAAAACCAACAACTTTTTTCTTCTGCAATTGGAAGTCTGTACCTGAGAGAATCTGGTAGGATATGAAAAGCGTACAAGGAATCAGAGAAACAATTTATATAGAGCTTTAATAAAATGTTTCTCTTGTAAAAAATCTTGTGTGATTCATCTAGATATAAAACAACACGTAAAACCCTATCCAATTTTACTGTTGCTGTTTTGAAAATACTTTTTCCTAAACCTCAGGTAAAGCAAATAACTAAAAGCCCAAATAAAACAATATTGAAACGTGAGCTATTGTCAAGCAGTGCCTTCAAACTATATAAAGTGCTAAATGGAGGGAGGCACAGGCTACAGGGACTCATATGCTGGGAAGAGACAGATAGAAACAGTGAACTAGGCCTAGATGTACACATGGACACACGCAGGTGTAACCTGTCCATCATCCATCCTTTGCACAGAGTGCTCTAGCTAGTCAGGTGTGACAGGAAGTTACACATTCCAGACCAAGAGGGTTCTGCAGAAAAATTCAGGAAAAGCCAGAATGGAAAAAAGTAATATAAAGAAAGACTGAAAAAATCTGGAGAAGCAACAGAGAAAGAGTAAGTCAGAAAAGTGGAGCAATGGAACAGTAGCTGCATGGTCAAAGGCAAGGAAGAGTAGCTACCTGCTGATGAAGCACAGAACAGGTTTGAAGATTTTAGAAAGAGCTGAAGATTACAAACAATACTATATTTGATACAAAACACAGAACCCACAAGGACAGGCACGTTAATTGATATGTCACAATTCATGCTCCCTACTTGCCTGATGCATTTTACTCTGCTCAAACAATTGGGAGAATAAATTCTTTTGTTTTGTTTTCCCTGCAGTTCCTTTTTTTTTTAAAAAAAAAAGTTTTCTGTAGAAAATAGGTCAACAATGTCTTGTCTGCATAGTCTGTCAGGGAGTGCTCATAGCTGATAAGTAACAGCTGAGTTCTTCAAGGGAGAATTACTATCCCTGAATCTTTCAATCATCTTAAATTGGTACGGCAAAATCCTCTCCTCAGAAACAGCATGCCCCCAGGGGAGTAACTGTGAAGCCAGGAGAACAATATTACAGACACGATGGGCTATGAAAATTTGATTTTGCAAAGCAGAAACTGATTCTGAAAAACTGACCTGCAGAGATCCTGTAACACCAAATAGAAGGAAACAGCTGTGCTTGAAAGAGGAGCTGCCCCTTTATTTTTCCCTTCCGTGCTGGTCTCCAGTGACATTCCTGTGTGCCAGTCCTTCAGGGATACAGAGGGCTTTTGATGGTGGAAGTAACGTGTTTTCTTTGTTCAACATAAGTACTCGTGCTATGAGCCACTACCTGTACCAAACACAGGTCTGCCAGAGCCCGCAAATGGAAGGAGGTAGTGAGAAGAGGCAATGTTTTTCTGGATGACGTTCAAGCAAACAGAGCGAGACTTAGTGCGTTTGGGAAAGCATAACACTGAATATGCCCAAAATACTATTTAAAACATAAAGTACGCTGGCATAACCATAAACTCACTGAAGGAAGGACTGGGAAGAGCCTTGAGAAGCCATCTGCTCCAGCTCTCTGCTTCAAGACAGGGCCAACTCTACCTAAAATATTTGTCTAGACACTTGTCTAACCAACTTACAAAAATCTTTCACGAATAAACCATTGACTAATGCAGTCTATTACAATGCTTAAAGAACACTGCACCACCACCCAAGCACCTAACCTAAATGGACTCTCGATAGGACGAGACACAATGGGCTTCCGTTCCAAGAGGATGCAAAACCTCACTTATGACATTCTTTCCTGCACGTTCATTATTTTTTTTTAAGCAATCTGTGTTTTATAGAAGACTCAGATGAAATTTCATAGGGATCTTTGCCCAATATTTCTCAAACTTTTTCTCCTTCCTACATCCCTAAAAAAAACCTTAACTGGAAACAGAATTAGTTACAGGGCAGTAAGTCAGTAGTTACAGGGCAATTGTGTTATTTAGACTCATTAAGAAAACCAAAGTAATGATGCAAGTATAAAAGTTAAAAGGATGAGCCTAACTTCAACATCAAGCTGTTCGTGTAGTACAGTTTTATCTTGTTGATATTTGGTCTTTACATACTGATATAGTTCAGAGGACAGTTTTCACTTTAGAAAAAAACAGTATGATAGATAATGAACAGCAGTATGCTCCTGCAACATCAATTTAAACTGAAACGTAATTTCTTCTTGTCTCAATTTGTTTCCTGCTCCACCTTCTCAAGCATTTAACCATCGGGGTCACAGAGCATTCCTCGTATCTTAGAATTAAAGTGCTCATCAGATACGTATTCCAGTAATGGAAACGTCTAATGAGAGACACATGACAAATCGATGAGGCCCCTCTATGTGAAGAGGAGGGATTTCTCCTGTGATACGCCCCACGATGCAAGAAATTCAGAGGCAAATTTGAAAGAAAACAATAGTGGAAATTTGGTGCAAGTCCTCTCTAGAACTGGCCACAGGGTGTCACTGTTACTCTTGGCAAGCAAAGGAAAACGCTCGCTGTATCTGTGATAGCCTTAAATGCCGCAATGCTACTGAGACTGGTCTGGAAATATTTCACAATATTACACATTTAAAAAAAAAAAATCCAACAACAACATTCTAAAGACATTACTCTCTAAAATCTCAATAAAGGCAGATGTTTAGTTAAGCAAAATTCTGTGAGGGTGACTGCGATGGTCCTTTAGGCGGATGTGCAAGGAATGCTGACTGGGGACCAAAGCTCTCTGCTACATTTTCTGTCAGCAGAACTTTGGTGAACACAAAGCATAAAAAAATCCCAAACTCCCAAACCTAGAAAAAATTCAGAGGCAATTCTAAAGCGTAAGATCTTAAATCAAGCAAAGCTCAAAGAGCAATATGCATTTCACATCGATCGTCTCAGGAGCTGCTGCAGCCATGCGGAAGATGTTTCTCTCCCAGCACTGTCTCCCCCTCCACGACTGACTTTGGCTGAAAGACCACAGGATAACCTGAGCAGTTGCTACCAGGTGAAACTCGGGGCCTAGCACAGAACGCTGCTCTCAATCCATGCAAGGATATATCGACAGATAATACAGTGGAATAACCTCAAATCTTGCAAAACATGTGGGAGAGCCGTAACTTCTGCTGGCATAGATTAGTGAAAAACATGTTTTGCGCTCGGCAGAGCATCAGTGGTGTATACCAAACTAGGATCTTGTTTAAGAAGAACACTGAAGTAGTAATTGTCATGATACAAAAAGCCTGAACTGTATGAGAGGATGAGTAGGAATTAGTGGTGAGAGAGAGGAGAAAGGACATTTGCTTTTTGTAAAGTGACAGGAATGAAAATAACATGCATCATG